GCTGCTGGCTCCCGACATGGCCTGCCCTGCTCGCTGCTGTGGAGGTGCAGAGCTGGATCAGAGCCTACAAAAGCAATGGAGCGATTTCTGAGGCTTTGGCCAGTGTGTCTGGTGGGATTTCTGACCATCCACATCTGCAGAGGACAATTGCTAACAGCAGGGCAGACCCTGCACCTGAGCAATGCCCTGAGCAGCCATCAGCCCTTCCAGCAGCCGGTCCGTGCTCTTTGCCCGGCTCCCTTTTCCTCTGCCTTGTACAACCGTGCAATGGGACTGTCTGCACAGACACCTGTTACCTGCAAACATCCTCCTCAAACAATAAGTTAAAAAAATTCATCTCAACGGTTTAAATATTCAACTTCTCTTTTACCTGGTAAGATCAGAACGCCAGCATTGCTTCGTTTCCTTTTCAGACATATGGGCTTTTAAAAAATTCTCCTATTCCAGCTTTTCCCGCTCCTTGGTGGAACGGCTATGGGAGATCTGTGAGTGACTACGCTTTCAAGCAGCTCCGGAGGGCAGGGAGTGGAAGCCGGGGTTAGACTGACAGCACCTACCACCTACAGCAGCAAGCTGGGGATTTGGATCTGCTCTCTGCCACACTTTGAGATAATGCAGTAAAAAAGAAACCAAAACAAAACCCAAAACAAACAAAAAAGCATCACAGGGCAGGGACAAAAGGCTTGTTTACTCATCAGCACTTTAAATTTTGGCAAGTACTTATTTTTTACCTTTTTTTTTTGAAATTGCTTTTCTATCTTTATCACCCCTCCCCTCCAAAAAAAAAAAAAAAACCAAACAACCCAACCAAGTGAGTTTTCCATCATCCTTAAGTCATCCTGTGGCCAAACTGCATGTTTTACAGTGCGATGGGGATTTGGCTGGGCCTCTGGTCCTCGTCCGGGGGCAGCGGAACCAGGCGGGCGAGCGGAGTGCCCGGCGTGGCCAGCGGCTGGCGCGGGACTATGTCCCCGAGGAGGCGCGGCTGTAGGCGGGGGGCGCCGGGGAGCGGCGGGCGGCGGGCGGGAGCTGCGCGGACACGGGGCAGGGGTCGGGCTGGTCGCGGTGCGCGGGGTCGGCGGGGGCTGCGAGCTGCTCTGACGGGAAGGCGGAGGGGATGCATCGGAGTGCGTCCGGTGGGGATGGAGGGGAGTCTATAGCACTTCCATCGGAAGAAACTGGGCTGGCACAGCGTCCTTCTCCTTGTAGGTACCGAATGCACTTCTTTTTCCTCCTGGAACAGCAGAGAGAGGTCTCTGTGAGTACCGGGAGGGTCCCGGCGGGTCCGCCGGCCCCTTCTCCCCCCGGGGCCGGGATGGCGGCGGCGCTGCAGCGCTGCGGGGACACCGCCAGGCGGCGCCGGCGGGCCGGGAGCGGGGCCGCGGGAAGGGGCTGCGGGCGGAGGAGGAGGAGGAGGAGGAGGAGGGGGGAATGGAACAGAGTAAACATCAACATGAAAAAAAAAAAAGAAAAAAAGACCCCCTCCCCCATATTAATAATTATCGAAGCCATCAAATTAAAATAATAATAAAAAAGTGAAACAATACAATTTAAAAATAATAATGGAAATAATAATAAACACCCCAAATATTAAAAACAATTCAAAATAATAATAAAAATCCAACCCATGAGGTCATTCCTCACCAGGCACTACCCCAATTGCTTGAATTCTGTGTGGGTACCTGGCTCTCACAAGTTCAGGACTAAAGCATTCCCTCCCCAGCTGCCACAGCCCATGCAGGGCCATGGGACAGTCGTGTGTGCTGGTGTCACAAGGCACATCAGCACCACTGTGCTTAGCAGCCCCAGGTTGTGCTCTGCTGGGACGCTGCCCTTCACACCAGTCTCGGCTTTCCTCATCCCAAAATCTGAAGGTTCCAAGAGTTTATTTCCCAGCACTTTCCTAGCCTTGTGCACAGTATCCTCTACTTAGAAGCAAGGACTGGTTCGGGTTGGAAGGGACCTTAATGCTCCTCCTGTTTCAACCTCCCTGTCATGGGCAGGGACACCTTCCACTACACCAGAGGTTGCTCCAAGAACCATCCAACCTGGCTTTAGGTCTCAGCTCTTCTCTTCTGCTCTGAGTAATCTCTGAATCTGAGTGTACTTCCCATTCATTCCCACCTCCAAGGACAACTCAGTGATACAGCTGAACAGAAATGTGCTCAGCAACTATTCAGGAAAAGGGAAGGAAAGGTGGAGGGAGATGGTCTGAGGGTGTCTGAAGTCCTGCTTTGAAAATCGGAACAGTCCTGAGGCCTTCAGAGGACTTGTTGCTCCTTGGAGGGCAGATCACCTTTCACCTGCCCCCTGAGCTAAAGGAAAATCAGCCCTGACAGAGGTACCAATCACACTTCAGCCCATGGGGTTCCTGGAGAAGAAGTGCTTGCTGTGACCTCCCCTTGGGATGTGACCTCTCCCTTGGGAAGTGGAAGTACAGGTACAAAATGCAAGGTGGGCAGACACTAGGGAGAGAGATTGGCAGAATGGTCCTGCAGTGCTGACAGACTCAGTTCCTTGCTTCCATTCTGTGGAGTGTGATAGAGCTCATCAGCTGGGGAAGGCTTTACTGACCCAAAGGGGTTTTTACAGGACTGTACCCATCAGGGGCAGCTCTCCTCCCCAGCCCTGCTCTTCCACCAAGAAATCTGCTGGGACTAGGAAGGTCCCTAACGCAGCAGCACCTGCCTTATGGAACAGGGACCAGCCTTCTTTAATCCCTCCTGGAAGAAACACTCAGGTTACCCACATGTTTATATGTTATGATTTGGGAGTATCAAATATACAAGTAACACATAATTCTTGGTGTAGCTGGGTTTGGCCATGATTCCTTCATGTCCTGTGACAATTATTTTGAGTATTTATCCTGAGTTCCAGGTGTCCCTTGTACACCCAGATTGTTTTAATCTGGCTGTCCAGAGTCAGTCCCTCACACTACCTTGTCTTCACTGTTTGTTGAGCTGCTTTTCCTTCTCTCCGTGTGACAGATCCCTCATGTCACCTGCCTTGGGTCCTTGAGTACTTCAGTATAGATCCTCAAACAAAAGAGCTCTCAAGGTGTCACCTCAACAGTATTTAAGGGACAATTCCTCTGCTGGAGCCTTTACAGCTAGAACAGGTAAAGGAACATTTCCCACCCAGCTCCCTGCCTCGGCTGTCTCAGATGAGGAAAACTGATCAAATGCAGAACTCGCTAATGCGGGCACACACCTTTCTTTGATCTTCCTAATGAAAAACCAGACACTGTGAGAATGTGTATTAACTAGTCCAGTATTAAACATGGCTTGCACTGGATGTGAACAAGAGCAGTGCTATTACTGCTGTCAGTGCCATCGATAGCCATGCTGACCCAATTAATGCAATAGGAAACACAGCTCAGCTGAACTGAGTATTTAACTCGAGGGTGTTTTCCATGGGTAGCGATTCCCCAGAGACAAGCCCGAGGAAGAGCTGTGTTTCCCAGAGACATCTAGGGAGTAGCTGCAGTATAGAGTTGCAATGACCAGTTTAGGACTACAGCAATGTGCCCATTGATTCATTTGATTTAAAGTAACACGGGGAAAAATGCAGATGTGATACTACAGACTGCTGATAATGGTTCTGCTGAGGTGGATGTTACACAGCTAAAGGTGTTTATCCCTCTCTAAGGGAACTTATCCCTCTCTCTTTGGAATCTACAGCACCCTGGAATGTTTGTCCAGGGTATGGGGAAGGAGTGTGAAAGCTCTAGAGCAGGAACACCCAATCTTAACCAGTTAACCTCTCCTGTGGAGTGAAAATCCTCCAGGGGAAGTTGTTCTCCGCAGGTGAGCAGAGCACGCTGGGCAGGAGCCCCTGAGTGGCAGCAGCGCGTTAGTAGAGAATTGCAGAGCAGCTCTGGCTGACCAGGGCTTGGTTACACGGGGAACACAGGGAGAGCATGCCAAGGGCACTCCTGCAGCCTGTGTTAATCAGGAAGCCGTGCAGAGAAGCTGAGTTCAGAGCTGGAATGGAGGCAGAGGGAAGGTAGAAGAAGTGTCCATGGAAGAGCAGGGCACTTGGCCTGGCAGCACAGAACAGGGGGCACTCCAGCAGCCCCCTCTGGACGTTCAAGTATTAACCAGACAGTAAGGGAGCTCTGTCTGCGTTCTTAATCTATAAAAAATGGTGCTTGATGATACTACCCAGGGAAAAAAAGGCAAACAGGGAGCTCTGCTGTTGTGGCACGCTGAGGTGCAGGAGTGGAACTCACATGAGGCTCAGCCACAGGGACTGGAGCTTGGGGTGCAGCAAGGTATGGGTCAGACTTGGTTCGATTAAATGATTTCAGTCACTTCAAGCTGAAGGGAACACATCAAGCAGTACTTTACTTCCACCTTTTCCCTTGTGCATTGGTGTAAAACTGCAAATTATAGATGTCTGTCTAAGCTGGAGTCTCTCTGTGCTCTGGCACCTTGATCCAGAAGCTCCCAGGAGCTTTCTCTGCCTGGCTGCCTTTGCAGCCCCCTGAGCCCAGCAGCACTTGGTTGAAGTGAACTTTACTATTTCTTGACCAAATCCATCTTTGGGAGCCTGAGGAGCACAGCACTGCTCTGTTTTGCTGCTTGAGGCTGTCCCAACCCACCCATGGCAGGTAATGCAAAATTTCAGGCTCAGGAAGAGCTGGATCTTGAAACACATGGTTAGCCCAGTGTAAGTAGGAAAAAAACCCCATTAAATTCTCACTTGCTGGCCCTAGGGTGCCTCTAATGTGATTGGAAAGTACTAATGGAGGAAAAAAAGCCTCATGTAAGAGTCACAGAGGTCTCCATCCTGGAAGTAAACTTTTAAGACCAGGCAAGTCTGTCAGCTGAAGAATATGTACAGCACTAAACCAACACTGCCCCAGAAGGGCTAAAAACCCCAGAGTACAGCCTGTCCCTTGCAGCTGAGAAAACTGAGGATGCCCAGAGCACATTCCATCCCTGCCTGGATGCCGGGATGGCTGCAGGACACCTGGATGGCTGCAGGAGGACACCTGGAGCTGAACCCCCTGTCCCAGGAGCACCCAGCAGCGAGGAGATGCCGATACACACCTGCACGGGCCGCACCAGTCCGTTTGTTGGTTGAGGCCAAAGCGAGCTCTGCATTTCTTAGGAGAGGCAGGATCTGAACACAGAAGCATGCGCGGCGAGAATGGGCAAGGCAGAGGCACAAAGAGGAGAGGAGCACGAGGAAGAAAAGAGGCAACATCATTTTAGCCACTTCGACACACGACTAACAGACTACAATCCCATTATTTGCTGCTACAGAATGGCGCTGGCACCACCTGGAAAAAAGTGATCGTTAGGCAAATATCAGTGATCACTGCCGGCAGCTGGAGGTGGTTTGGGAAACAGCTTTGAGAAATGTGGGCAATTACGGGGAAATTCACAGCTCTTCAAATTTCTTAAGTCTGGAGAAGCTGCCAAATCCCGAGGCGATGCCTGACTCCTGTATCTGCACCCTTCCTGGCTCCCTGCCTTTCCAGCAGTGTCTGCACACGGAGAAGAGAGGAGGAAACGTTGCAGAAGCAGGCTGAAAGCAGAGTTAGCACCAAGGAGACCTAGGCCCAGGTATTCCACTCTGCCCCCCATCACACCCCTTCCAGTTTTAATGGAAAAGCTGCTCTCCACCGCCTTTCCCAAAACGTTGCTGTTTTACTGTCTAATTACAGGAGTCATTAGGGTGAACATAGTGTTTTTCTCTGCTGTCGTGAATGAGATTGCAACAGCACATTTCTGTGCTGGATTCAGCCTCTCTCTTTCAACCACGAGCAATGTCTCGTTGTGTACAACCAGTAGTTGGTTTTCAATCTGTAACAGGCAAAATTATAATTTTTTGTATCACACAGACAAGACATATATATGGATATATAGAAATATACAGTGCATTCCACATAAACGCCTAAAAGCTTGTATTCTTCTTATCAGACTCGGCACTGAATGAGATCAGCAGTGTTAATTAAACTGAAGGTATTACTGGAACACATCTCTTGATAATGATTCCCTTTTAAACTAATATTTATTGGTACAGGTAATATTTATTCCTAATGTGGCAGAAGTACTTCAGAAGTTGGCACATGAATAGCCTTGAATAATGGGAATGTGTCTGTGACCAGCTGAAATCTGACAAAAAGGCCTTTTCTAATGGGCAGGGTGGTACAGGGAGGTGGGGTTTGGTATGACTTTGCTTCAACCGTACATTACTTTGAAATGCCAACCAAAGTTGGAGTAGTCCCCTGAAAGACCTGCAGTCCTGCCACTACATTTCATCCCACACACAATATGGATGCATTTGAGAGGAGTTTTCTTTAGTTAATATAATCTGTAGGTCTGATGGGGACATTCACCTTGGATGTTTTCAATAGACAAAGTTTAGTGATAGTTTGTATGAAGTTATTATACATTTTCCAAAATCCAATCTTTTCAGTTTTCACACACTACCCATGTTCTAAATCAAACACGTCTATTAAAAAGTCACAGAAATGTTAATTTTCCATGGCTGAAAAAAATAATGAATGGGTATTTCTGTAGTTAAGCTCTGGAGAATAAAAGCAAACATGGTAAAACACAAGAACTGCTTTGGATTCTCCCATCTGAGCAGGAAAGCAGGAACAGCTGCCAGGCTGCAGGCACTTACCCGAGCTGGAATCTTGCTGCTTTTCCCGTGTTCGTCTCTTCTTTTTCCCCTAGGAGATCAAAGGAAAGGCTGTTACCTGTGCTCCAGAAAACCGAGGGAGCTGTGCAGGGTTTTTGGGGCTGGACTGGCTGCTGGGGATGGCTGCTGCCTCCCAGGTAAGATCCAGTAAGAGCCACAGTGCTGATGGCTCAGCCCATCCAGGAGGAGATGAACTGGAAAAGGCTGCAAAGGGACTACTCAGGTTTATCTATGAGGGTGTCCCTTTTCTTTCCCCTCTTCCCATTCCAACTCTCCTAAGAAGGAACTTCTTAGGAGTTGGGTTTCAACTAAGTGAAACTCAAATGTGTTTTTGTGCACTTGCTATGGCTTCTGCACAGCATGAGTTCATTCTGGGCTTGTGCCTTTTCTCAGGGATTAACCCTCATCTCCAATACCCCTGGATCCAGCACCACAGGAATTTTGGCTCAGCACTTTGCATGATATTTTTGCATATTTAGAAACTGCAATAAACTCGAGAGGTGATGGCAGCCATGTCCCCACCCCTACCCTGACATCTGCTCCAGTTTCTTCCCAACACACTGCTCCATGCTCTGGCTCATGAGTCCAGGGCTATGCTGCAAATGCAGTTAAGACCCAGATTTATGGTGCAGGCTGTGTCAGAAAGTGTGAGGGAAAATGTTAGTGGATGCAAACCAGCTGTAAGAAAGCTATGCCTGTGCCTGCACTGCTCAGCACCTCTGCCAGCTCCCACCAGAACTCCTCAGCCCACTCTGATGTATCTCACCAGGGGATCCCACCCATTATTGCTTTAATTAACGAACTGATAATTTAATGAATAAATCTAATCAGAGTAAAAGAATTAAACAATATTTGCTGCATGCAATGGAGAGAGTACGATCAATAGCTGATGCTCCTGTTATATTCTTATTCCTCCTTATGTTTCTAAAAAGCACTTGGTCTATTTTAGAAGCTTCCCTATTTCCAAAACATGCTTTAATATGGCACCTTATACCAAAACTGAAACTGGTTCTTGATATTCCCTGATTCCAAATGGGAAAGAAAGTTTTAGGAAATCCACAGAAATTTATTTTAAAGTAATAGTAATCTATTTTGGTGCTTTTGCAGTTCTGGACCCATCTCTCTTTCTTCTTTCACTAATAAAAAAGTCTTATCCCCAAACTGCCTCTCTGATTCACAAGATGCAGCACCTCCCCTTGTCCCCTAATGAGCTGATTAATGAGGGCACAGCAGCACGGAAGCAAATCTTGCTGTGTGGCACAGGCAGCTCCCAGGGCTGCCTTTGACCTGTGACTTTTTATATGACTTCTTGTGGTTTGAGTGAAGGTGGAAAGCTCTGAGCTGTGGTAAGCTTTTCCTTCAGTGGGGGTGCAACTGTATTTCCTGCCTGATATCTGCATCACGTGCTGCACAAGTGACCTACATTCCTCCTCCTCATCCCCGCTCAAATTCAGAGAGAAAAGCATCTCTTCCAACAACCACAACACCCAAACCAGCTGGTTCACAGTGCTGGGGGGACCAATATGCACTTTGGAGCCCACCATCTATCTTCTGGAGAAAGGAACCAGCCCTTGGTTCCCCAAGGAACCAGATGAAAATGATAGAGGACTGGGATTTCCATGGAGGATGTGCTTGGCCTTGGAGGAAAATGGTGCCAGCAATGCTGATGCCCTCCAGACGTGTGCCCATCAAAGTGTGGGCTGGGGGCTTCCTGTCAGCTCTGCTTTCTGCACCATCTCTGCCCTCTGTTTTTGGGGGGTGTTTAGTCCAACCCCCTGACATGAGCAGGGACACTTTTCAGTAGACCTGGTTGCTCCAATCCCTGTCCAACTTGGCCATGGACACTTCCAGGGATGGGGCATCCACAGCTTCTCTGGGCAGCCTGTGCCAGGGCCTCCCCACCCTCACAGATACCTCAGCTGCTGTCCAAGATGCACAGAGCCATTTGTTTCCATAAAATGACATTCCCAGAAATACATCCACAGCACTCAAAAGCTTCTCTTCCTTTCTATTTGTATTTGCTTGGACAATAAGCAAATAAATGCTTGTGATTGCTGGGGGCTGTATCATTCATCCTTTAGCCAGGCAATAAGCCAAGAGAGTGTTCAAAATACTGCTGAAATGTGAATTTCTATGGCTCTTGTGCTGCCAGGAATGGCATTTCCAGGACCAGGTGTTGGTCAACACCAGCCAGCCCCCCCCAGGCCATTCTGAGCCATGCCATAGGGTGGGGGCCTGAGCACAGTGGCACTCACGTAGTTGTCTCTGGCAGACCAGCCGGGGTAGAGCTGCATGTGGAGCTGCCGTTCCTTGCGAGCCAGTTCGTAGTACTTGGCCTGTTCCTCTCGGGACAGTGCGTGCCACTGCAAGGACAAAGAGCAGTGAAGCACGGCCCTGCTGTCCCCTCCCAGCCCAGCCCACCACGGCCACCCCACCCCAGGACATATCCAGCCATGGGATAAGAGCATCCGGATTTGAAGCTGATGCTTGTAATGTCCTTAATAGCAGCTGTAAGGGACAGGGATGTGGCATTAGGTGATGACACTGGGCCCCGTGAGCTCTTACCCTCCTTCCCAAGATCTGGTTGATGGCAGCACTCTCTTTCAGGGTGCACTCGGCGATGACTTTCGCCCGCATCTCTTTCATATACAACATGAAAGCGTTCAGGGGCTTCTTAATAGTGGGCTTCTTGGCTTCCTTCTCTCTCTTTGGTTCTGGTTGAGGTTTCCTTGGTGGGACAAAAGGAGGGGCTGTCAGCATCAGAGCCAGCAGAACACTCAACCCCAAAACAGCCCAACGGCACGAGCAGGTAGGGGGCCCGAGATTTGCTCCTCAGATGCACGGCTCAGCGTTCATCCATCCTGCCCCCATTTGAGCACTGAGAGTGACAAATGAAATGGGTGTTGAGGTGCTGGCACTGCTGAGCCAGCACTTCCCACTCACATGTTTCGGTCGTAGTGCTCCATCTCTTGCTTGCCGGAGTGGGGCACGATGGCGGGGTGCGGGATGCCGGTGGTGTGCATGCCGGAGCCCAGCATCAGCGGGTGAGTGAACCTGCAAGGGAGAGCGGGTGAGCCGCGCCGGGAGGGCAGCGCCAGGCCGGGCACGGCGGGGCCGGCAGCCGGGGCGGCTCCCTCGGAGCGCTCTGACGGGCGAAGCAGACGGGAAGCCAGGACACGGAAAGCACGCGGCGCTGCCAGGCTGGCGGGGGCAGGCAGTGCCCACCACCCCTGGGTCACCCTTGTGGCACGGCTGGTCAAGCCCTGGGCACATGGATGGGAAGGATTCGGTGCCATAGCGAGAGAACCCGCCTGCAGCAGGAGCCAGCCTGGCCGAGATCAAGGGTGCTTTCACCCAGCAGTTTCAGCTGCTCGCATCCCTGTTGGTGCAGTATCTCATTAGCACTGCAGAAAGGAACAACAAACTCAACCTGAGGTTTGGATGGGAGAGATTAGGACCACCCCGCACCTTTCTTTTAACAGACTAAGTCTGAACATGAACCCTACTGCAACTCTAGGAGGTGCACCTTGCCTAAGCAATGCTCTCCACAACATGGGCTGAGATCACAAGAGGTCTCATTAGCTCTCAGGCTTCATTAGCCCTCTCCGGAGTTTTGGAGGACAAAGCCAGCAAAGTCAGCTTTGCCAAGCTTGCCACTTTAAGACTGCAGCTTGAGATGGCAGAATTGCCCATGGGAGATGAACTGTTCATTAGATATGCTGGCACGAAAAGAAAAGCTGTTTAATTTAATCCACCAGCACAGTCTGATCCTTATCTGACCAGGTGTACTTTCTCGGCTGCAGCAGTGTTGCAAAATCCGCCCCAAAATCCTGCAGGCAGGAGCTCGGGGAGGCTGCTGGGGCTCCACAGGGAACCGTTAGCTCCTCTTGCCTTCACTTTGGAAGCTGTGCATGGGTGATACCTTGCAAGAAAGGAGGGCTGGCAGCACTCCCTCCCCTCTTCTGCAAGGCTAAGAGGCTCCATCAATCAAGGGATGCATGGATCAAGTGTTGTATGGATCGAGCGTTGCATGGATCCAGGTTTCTGTGTGGCTGAGGGCTCGCCTGAGCAAGGGTTTGCATGGTTTTCCTGTGGGAAATCTCCACTAACAGCTCTTCAGGACGACATGAAGCAGAAGCAAAAGCTAGTGTGGCCCTGGCATCCCTATGGAGCTGGGAGGGCTTTTCCCAGCAGCACGCCTGGAAGAGCTGGGCCCAGTGATTCCCATCCACAGGGATGCATTTTGCTCACCCGAAGGCAGAAGCTGTGTTTGTGTCTCACAGAAATGACTTGTTCTGATGGGAGGGCAGCAAATCACTGCCCCCTCCTGTCCTGCTTTTACAGCTATGACCAAGTGAACCAGATCCATCTCTGCAGAGCAAAGCGGTGGTGGCAGCAGGGACACATTCAGGATTAGTGACACAGAGCAAAGTCCTGAGCAATGGATTCCACCCCATTTTCCCAGTGCTGAGCTGAAGGCTGGAGTTTTTGACTCTTTAGAGCACTGCTGAATAAAACCCAACCGTTGTGCATCCTTCATCCTCAATATTCCCCTGAGCACCCTTTGGACCAGACACTGCCTAAAAGCTCCTTCTCTCCCCGTGGCTGCCCTGGGGAGGGTGCGTGGCTGTCCCTGGGTGGCTGTGGTCTGCTGCAAGCTCCTGCTGCACAAACTGCAAGCTGCACGACCAGCTGAGCTGCCCTGTCTGACACAGCTCATACTCACCTGGAGAAAGAAGCCCCAGCAGAAAGCGCTGACGAGTACGGCTGTCTAAATCCACATGACGGGAGCGGATAGACAGACTGGCTCTGCCTGGGATCAGGAAGAAAGAGTCTATAAAGTATCCACAGCTGCGTGGTATTTCCTAAATTCCCTTTGCTAGAGGGACTCGGAGCTCTGATGCCCCTGGTTGGGCAGACACTCGGTGTCCCTGAGGTCTGAGGGGCAGTGTGGGCTTTGGATGTTATTTTGAGAGAACCTGGGACTTCCTACAAAAGCTGGATCCAATTCTGACCCCCTTCTGCCCCTGGTACTGACTAACACTGCAGCTTTGAGTCTACCTGGTAACAATGCAAAGTGCAGAAGTGTGCTGAAAAATCAGGAGATGTTGCTATTGCACAGAAGAAGTTGCTCAAAAGAGCACAATGTGATAAAAAATAAAAAATTAAAGCCTACTCAGTTTCTCTCTGTGATGTATAAGAAGCTGCACCAGGAGGATAAATATGAGGAAAACTACCTTACTGTTCAGTGACCAAGCACTGGAACTGGTTATCCAGAGAGGGTGTGGAGCCTCTCTCACTGGAGATATCCCAGCACTGTCTGGACACAATCCTGTGCCATGTGCTCTGGAACAACTCTGCTTGAGCAGGGACATTGGACCTGCTGAGGTCACCTCCAGCTTTACATGCTCTGTGATGCTGTGATGCCCCAGTCACAGGAGACTCCTGGAGCCTGGAGAGAAGGTAGCTACCCTGCCTTTGTGCTTCAGGAATGCTCTGATTTCCTCAGCACACCCTTTCAAGGACTCCCATCACTTTTAAAGAAGCCAAAAGCTCAGTCCTGCATTCTTTTTGAAAGCTGTTTCATACTGGGGACCAGACATGTATCAGACCTGGGGCTGGAAATTATTTTTGAGATAGTAAAATAACTATGCAGGAAGTTCCTTGTTGTTCCCAGCAAGGGAACCCCCACATTTTCATATGGAAATAGCTCAAAAATACCTTGGATTGTTCTGCAAACCTGCCAAAAGGTGCTTCTAGCCTAAAACTGCACATGGAAACACAGATGATAGAATTACAGAATGGTTTAGCCTGGGAGGGACCTTAAAATCACAGAATGGTTTAGGTTGGAAGGAACCTTAAAGCTCATGTTACTCCAACCCACCCTGCCATGAGCAGGAACATCTTCCACTCGACCAGGTTCCTCCAAGCCCCATCCCACCTAGCCTTGAACACTTCCAGGGATGGGGCACAATGGGGTGCTGGAATTCAGGCTGGTACTCACATTCCTCTGGCCAGGCTGCACAGAGCTGTGCCTAAACCCAGGACCAGCTGTTTTCAGCTCTAATGACGAAAAAAATCCACAAAAAGTCCATTATCATTAAATGCGGTGCACCGTGAAGGACTCAAACTCCTGGATGCCTGGGATTTTTCAGGGCTAAAGAGAAGTTTCTGCCCTGAAGAGGAATAATGCCAGCGGGGCAGCAGCCAGGCCCCAGAGCTGCACTGAGCAGGAAGGAGGCTCCTGTTCCTGCTGCTGTCTGGAATCCTCCTGGCTTGACTGAAATCTGCAGGGTCTGTCTGCAGGAAAGGCAGCCAGGGCTGTTTACACCATGGCAGGCAGAAGCCCTCTCAGACCCCTCAGATGTTGGTGGGCATAAACACACCAACAAACAGCCAAGTGCTGCTGCACACCGGGAAACTCAAACAGCCTTTGAAGTTGGAGGCGGCTGCCCCAGGGCCGAGAAAACACTTGGAGCGAATCCAGAAGCGACCTGGGTTACTCCAGAGGCCAGGGTAGTGGGATAGGAATGGAGTCAGGCACTTGCAGCTTCATCCAAAGTCCCTCTGACATGAAAATTAAAGCAACTGCAAAATCAATTCTTGATGGTTGGGAGTGCACAATTACAGCCCCTATAATGGAATTACTGGTCTGGGTTGGAAAGGACCTTAAAGCTCATCTCATTCCAAGCTCCTGCCATGGGCAGGGACACCTTTCACTAAATCCAGCTGCTCCAAGCCCTGTCCAACCTGACCATAACCATGAATGGGGCTGCTGCAATGTCTCTGGGCAATCTGTGCCAGGGCCTCACCACCCTCTGCTAACATCTTATCTAACCTTCCTCTTTTAGTCCAAAACTGTTCCCCCTTGTCCTGTCACTACCTGCCCATAGAAAAAGTCCCTCTCCCTCCTTTTTATAAGGTCTTTTTGGGTATGGAAAAGGACTCTGAGGCCTCCCTGGAAACTTCCAAGCTGAACAACCCCAGCTCTCTCTGCCTGTTTCCAGAGGATCTCCTGGTGATGGGGGTGGCTCAGGAAAAGGCTGTGGGATTCTGGAGGAGAGGATGCCCTGGCAGCACCGCGCTCGGCCCCGGGCACAGGTGAGTGACATGATTTGCAGGTTCCTGCCTAATGTTTACTGCCAGGCTCCCATAAGCAAAACTCACTTGACTGGACTCTTGGAAGCTTTTATCTGACTGTCATCCCAGCTTAATTACAGAGACAGTGATTGCAGCTCCTCCTCCTGAAGCACCAAGTGAGAACAAAACCAGTTTGTGCCCAGCTCCTGCCTGCCAGCTTGTGGAGGAAAAATTGCTTCCCATGTGTGGCTGCCCTGGCCTGGCAGCTCCTTGGTGGCACCAGCACAACCATGGAATCCTGTAATGGTTTGGGTTGGGAGGAACCTTGAAGATCATCCAGTTCCAGGACCCTCTTATGGGCAGGGACACCTTTCTCTAGACCAGGTTGCTCAAGGTCCATCCAACCTGGCCTTGAACACTTCCAGGGATGGGGCAGCCACAGCTTCTCTGGGATGCAGCCCTGGCATGACCATCCCCAGCACACCCATCCCTGGCACGCAGCCCCTGCTGCTGCCAAGAACCTGCCAGGCTCCAGTGCTTCTGCACCCACCCACAGCAGTGTGCTGAGCCTCAGCTGAGGACTGGCGCTCCACAAATGGGTTTGGGGCTCTTCCATACATTTTGGGCAAGAAAAAGAATGAGCAAAAGCTCTATTAGACACACGTGCCTCGAGGTGCTGCTGTCTGCATGTCAGGCCATTTATTGCTTTACCATATCTGCTCTATTAGCCATTAATGAAGACATCTCTTGAGGCTGCAGGAGGATGCCAAACCCCATGGATGCTGGAGCAGCTCTCAGCCATGAAAGCTCTCTCCACCACCAACTGCCCCACAAAATCTCCATAAAAAGCCAGTCTGTATGCTCAATGCCTCCCTTCATGAGCCCAGGGCTGTCTGAAGAGCATCATCCTAACCCAGGAGTGGACCTTCCATTTGACAAACAAGCTCCTTTCTCCCTGCTCCAACTGTTTCTGTCATGTTACAGCACAGTCACCCCAGTCCTTGTTTTTCCTGAGGATGACTCACATCATATGAGGAGTTAAATCATCACCAAGAGTAGCAGATTTAGCACAGAAGGCAAAATGTAATCTCTTTGAAGCCAGACTCTGTATCAAAGGCCTCATTCTCTGTTTCCTTGTGGTTAAATATCTGGAACATGAAATTCATAAACAAAACAAAACAAAACAAAAGCTAACATTTTACTTTGTGCTTTAAGAAACTTCCCCTTTCCCACTCTGCAATAGGTTCTTGTACCTGAAGCTCTCTGCTGGGCTTTGCCAGGGTTCTATCCACTGGCACTGGGGGAATCTGGCCACACTCCCTGTGATCACCAGCCCTGCACTCTTGCCTCATCCCAGCAACCCTGAATTGCCACCTGCAGCCACCAGTCTCCCTGCCAGCCTCTGCCATGTCCCTACATCATCACTGGGATTAAATATTAATCTGAGGAGTGATGTTGCCCACATGGCAGCTCTCTCAGTGTGCTCATGGTCACGGGGACAAAAGCCAGTGGCAATGACCATAGAGAACACACTGGTGTATTTTTAACTTGTGTCCCCGGGGCAGGTTTGCCAACAGGCTGTGCTTTGCAGGATGCTCTGCAGGGCTGGCCCATGCAGGGGGTACATTTTGGGGAGAGCTCCAGCTCATGGTCTCTCCCTTCCCATGCCTGCTGGGGCAGTGGTACCAGCTGGCCAGGCTGTGGCCAGGCTGTGGGTACCAGGGTTGCTTCCTGGCAGGTCTCAGCCATGATGTACTTTTTCCCTGTGTGTCAGATCCCAAGAAACACCGTGGCCTGGCAGATGGAGCATCCCACGGGATTACTCCATGCTGGTGGCGTGCTAAGGGAAAAGCACTGTTTGTGCTGAAAAGTCCAGTGAGGGAGAAAATTACCTCCTACTCCAAAAAGAGGCTTCTGCTGTGATTAGGAGGGGTGAGTAGAAAGCTCTCTCCGGGTTCCCTAATCCACACAGACAGATGTAAAGCAGGAGGCAGTTTTGGATTGGGCAGGGGGTAACCCCTCTCCAGGGATGCCTCAGCCAGGAGGAAGCCTTCAGCCCCTCCATGGGTCTGCTCCCACCTCCAAGAGGAGCTAAATCCTCCTCCCTCTTCACACAGCAGGCAGGAGGGGAGGAGCTGGGGGAAGGCACCGTGGGGTCACGGAGAGCAGCAGCAGTGGCTGGGTTGGCCCAGGGACCCTTCCCCAGCTCCTGTCCAGCGGGGCTGGGGCTGGGGCCGAGCCCTCCTCACTCACCATCCCATCGAGGGCGTGATCTGGCCCACTCCTCCGGGGGGCAGGGGGTAGAAACCAGGGATGTCTGAGGTCTGGGAAGGACGGTGCACTCCTGAAAGAAGGGAGAAGGAGAGGAGTTAAACGTGTCACTGCACTCCCTGGGTGGCCCAGATCGCTCCCCCCTGGCTGCTTCATCCGTGGGCACTTGGGGACAGCTACATGAAATAGCCACCTGCAAGAGGCAGGATGGTGTTTGCTGTGGTTCTCTCTGTGGGGATGTGGCGGGTCCTCCACACTGCTGCAAAATCACAAACATAACGGGGGGTGGAGGAGACATCTCGCTCTTGCACAAGCATCACAGCTGCTCCATGCCACCCTGAGGCCAAGGAGCACTGTGCTTTGGTAAGGATTTGGCTGACTGCAGGCATCCCTCTGCCTTTCCCAGAGAGCCCACTCAGGTGCTCAGTGGATGGTCAAAGCCATTCCTGTGCTCCCTCTCCATCAGTCATCTGCAGGACCTCCCGTGAGCAGGCAGTGGCGATGCTCCAGCAGGCAGTAATTTCCAACTTAATTTTAAGCAATTTGAGTTCAAAACAATTGTTCTGCAGCTCTGTGGGTGCCAAGGAACTATGGAGGTGGGTATGGTGCCAGCTGGGAATCCACCCTTCACATGGGGAATCCCTGTGTGATCTTCAAAGCTGCTGGCACGGGCAGCATGGCCAGGGGACACAGCCACAGCCTTGCTGGTTCCTGGCTGGGCTGGAAAACATCCTGTGTGCCTGGGGCTGCGGGTGGGACTCAGACAGCCACGGTGCTGCTGGCAGAACCAGCCTCCAGCTGACCCCTGCACCGGGAGACTGGAGGGGTGCTGGGGCTGAGCTCTGGTAGCAGCCTGGTGTAGTGATGGCTGCTATGGAGCCTCAGACAAAAACTGGGAACAGGGATTATCGAGAGGCCCTCCTGGATGATAAATGCATGCACTGAATTGGTGATGAGTTGCAAGCAGTTGCAACTGGATTCTTCTCCTAGGTGTTTGAATGATACCTGATTAATTAGGAATGATACCCACCAGTTCTAAGCATTTTATTAGGAGTCAGCTAAAATAAACATATAACCTGACAGGAATATATAACCTAGTACACATTTCCTTCAAGTGGGACTCAGTGGCCCATGAAGGGTCAAACAAAAGCAGGCCTGCACAAGGCAGCTGGTGGAACATCCTCAGATTTGCACCCCCAACAGTACCAGTTGCGTAAGTCAGAGCACAAGTTATTCTTGCTGGCCCAGTGGTTGGGCCACCAGCCACTGACTCAGAATTCCTGCTTGTATTTCCTTGTCTGTGTGTCCTTGGGCTACTGTGAGAAACTTTAAAGGGCTGCTGGGAGAATGAGTATGAGAGTGCCTCTCAAGCGCTTACACCAGTGATAATGGGAGCTGTTCCAGTGATGAAAACAGAGATGGGGCACATCCAGGATGAGCAGGGGAGAAAACTGCCCCAGCAGTGTAGAAGGCATGGGCATGTGTGATCACAGCTGCACCACAAAGGCAAAACCCAGCTGAGCATTATGGGCTGAACCTTTCCCTGAACAGCACAAGGAGGGTCTCTGGGACAGACAGACTCGCTGTGTCTGTAGAATTACAGGCTAAATGGGAAGGGGAGACTGGACAGAGCCTGCACTGAGGGTGCAGGTGGGCAGCCCAAGGACAGTGTCCTAGAATGACTGACCCACAGCAGAGCTGAATGCTCAGGGACTGCTCCAGTGCCAGCTGTAGCCTCCACAGCGGGATACAACCAGCTCTGCCCTTGGGTAAGCTGCTCTTGTATCACTTAAGGCTTCCCAGGCTGACAGTGAATCCCAGGAGGCAGCTCATGGTGAACACCTCCTGGAGGCGCAGAGCTCCGCCAGGTACAGCAAAAGCAGCGTGAGGAAGGTGTGTTGGGTTGCATTTCTGCTCACTTTCTCTCAGACTCAACTCTTTACCTGAGATTTTAGTAGGTTCATTTTGTTAACTCTTTCCATTTTTCTAGTGAGTTTATTATGCTCTGATGGCATAAGCAGTGTGCTGCCTGGAAGACAACCAGGATGTGCCTGGGTATCCCTTACACCAGACCTAAATCCTACTCATCAGCATCCCTGATGAGTCCAGACTGTGACCTCCAGGTTCAGGGATTAATCAGCCAAGAGCATCCTCAATAACCCATTGCTTTATCAGTGATGTTAACTTGGTGAAGCTGATGCCTCTGGGACAGTTTGGATCACTCCTGGGTGGAGGCCTTTGCCAAATCACAACAGTTGGTTTTGTGCCTCTGTTTTGGCACTGGCTTCTGGGCTCTGATGGACACTGTCCTCTTTCCTGAATGCAATTTGACACAAAACTGTCAGTTTGCTTGCTTTCCTATGAAATCAAGCCAAGATTTGTCTAAAAAACTGGGTAATCTGAACAGATGTTCTGCACTAAGGTAAGGTTGAGAAACGTTTGATTTTACATTCAGTTTGCCAGGAAGCCATTAAGAATGATGGAATGATGGACTGGGGTGAATTCCTCAACACATACATGTATTTACAGTACATCAGCATACTGTACTTTCCTCTGTAGCCCCATGAGCCAATTGACACAGCCTGGGCTCACAAAGGAACACAAAAAGCCAAACCAGGTGACAACCACATAACATGTGGCTATGGGAACACACATGTCACAATCCAGTCACCTATCGAACACCAATCCTGTTTAGTCAAAATACTTCCTGTTTCAAGCATTTATTTTCTCAAAATGACAACCTGACAACAGTTTGGGTATGAGTCAAAGGAAATATTACTTTCCATTTTCTGGTTGACTCTTGTGCATTACCGTGCAGGCTTTGGTGTGGTCTCAAGGTGCAGGACAGCTTGTACAGAGAACTGAGCACACTCCACCAGCAGGGCTGGCACTTTTGGTATCAGACTGCTCACGGCCAGATCACAAAGCATTGCCAATAAACCAAATAACCTCCTCCTGCTAAGCAACGTCCCAGCTGACCAAAGGTCCTGATTCTTCTCATTGATTTGGCAGCAGGAAGGTGCCAGTGGTCTCCTGCTCTGTGCCCCTCCCAGCACACAGGGCCCAGGCTGCCATTATTACCTTGTTTCTGGTTGATGTCTGCGGGCAGGTGGGGGGAGTGGGAGCCGTGGCTGAAGTGGTCGTTGCTGTACGGGATGAGCGGGGTGAGCGGGTGCACTCCGTGCGACGGCTGCACCACGGGAACTTTGTTGGACTGCAAGACACAACGATGGAGAGGACTCAGAAGTCATCAGGATCCACCAGCAGGGGCAGCCAGTGCCCTCTGCAGTCCCGCTGTTGCCAGCAAAGCTGGGAATTGCTAAAAACACTACACAAACACTGAACAAATTACTAAACAAACACTGCAGCATCCTGCAAAAAAAACCCCAAAACCCAATCCATAAACAAGCAGGGAAAACAGCTGGAGGTGATTTCTTGGATAAGTGGAAAACAAATTAAACCAGCTTGAAGTTTTCAAACTTTTTTCCCATTAATTTCCAGTATCTTTTACTCCAGGATGAATGCTCCAAGTCTGTTACCCAATGCAAAGCTCTTGTTCTCTGTCCTGGACTATCACAGGGTCTAAATCTGGACTTTCACAGTGAATCCTTCATATTCACTGTGAAAGTCAAGTTTGAGCTTTCTTAATCAGGGCTGTCATGCAAGGACAGATACAGGATCACAGAATCATTTACGTTGGAAAAGACTTTATAGAGATCACCAAGTCCAGCCATTAACCCAGCACTGCCAAGGCCACCATTAAACGCTGAGGGTAATGTCTTTGGAAACAGGACACGGTCACCAGTCAGCCCTTGGGCTGAAATCCCTGTCCAGTGCTGGAGAAGGACCAGAGGGAGCTGACGTAATGCTGGAGATGCAAAAAATCCAGGAAAAGTAAGCAAAGAAAAATCTGTCTCCTCTTGTAGCTGCTCCTGGTTATGTGCAGCATGTCTGTCGGAGCCCAGCACCTTGGAAAAGGCCCTTTGGTGAGCACAGCAGTCCTGCATTAAGAGAGGGGAACCTGCATGGAAGAGCTGCACAGCAGCAAGGAACACAGACACACAGACACAAACACACAGACTCACACACAGACACACAGACACACAGACATACAGACACACACACGCTGCCATCTACGCAGCCTCCTCGCCCCGAGCGTCCCGTGCTGTTTCCTACATGCCCAGTTTCGCCCATGGTTGCCTTTAAATCCAAACTGACTTCATCTTGGTGATGGAACGCTAGGATTTGTCCCAGATAAATCCACAGAAGAAACCAGGACTAACAGCACTCCAGAACAGGGTCAGTCTGGGAACAGAGCAGGTCAGACAGTTCTCCAGGGGCTCGGAGCTGGCCATGCCAGGCAGTTTTCATCAGTCTCACTGGGATGTCTACAGATGATTTGCTGTGTGACTTTTGACAAGTCATTTAGGACCCCTGGACTCAATTCACTGGTGCCTTCTGCTTTGGTAATGATTTTGCTCAGGCAGAATGAGAGGCTCTGGCTGGCTTTGGTGAGGGAGGCACAGACACACACAGTGGCTCTGATCAACCTGTCCTGGACCCATCCCAGCTGCTCCAAGTGAACTGAGAGCCCTGGGCAAGTCCTGTGTTTTGCATCCCTGCTCTGAGGAGGAAACCCATGAAGCGGAAAAGAAAGCAGACTGATGGAGACGCTGCTTTACATCTGCCTTTCCCACAAAGGTTTGCTCATGCAAATAAAAACCAAGGGGCACGCAGGTTTGCATTTAAGAATGAATGAAAACCCTAATTCCTGATGCTTAACAGGTGTAGATTTACTACATACAGTGGGGTAGTGGGAATGTAATCCCCCTTCCCAGCACAAACTGGTGTGGTACACGCGTTCCTGTCCTGCAGCAGGGCCATGGATTATGTGGTTTACCCATCGAGAGCAGCACTGGGCTGGTTCCTGCTTAGTTAAACACATGTTTGGAGCTTTGAGCTCTTTCTATTCTTAGCCATGAAATGAGATGAAGAAGAGCTTTTCAGTGATATTTCTAAAATTAGCTATGGTTTAGCTTATTTAAGAGCCACAAAGCCTAAATGAGGGATATGCAGTTCTACGTGTCCATTCTAACATGACACTGGAGCAGAACAAGCTCAGTGCTGAGCTGTTTTGAAAATCTCAACTCAAGCATTTCTTCTGTTCAAAGTAGGGCAGATCTTTCTTTCCCATTTGCCTCATGCCTGATCCAAAGCACAGCACCATTCACCAGCCAGCCTCATTGCCTGATAACTGTGAACAGCTTTCAGAGCAATGACAGAAGATACAGACTGCTCCAAAGGCAGATGAACTGTTCTGATGTTGATCTGCAGGATACCTCCCCAGGGGAAAGCAGGGAGTACATGTGGTTAGAGTAAAGCTAAATGGTAACCTGGTGGTACAACAAGACTTGCAGCTCAATTAGTCAGTTTTTCCATCAGTTCAGATGGAAAACAACATGCTGCACCAGTAAGAAGAGCTGCCTTCCCCATGACCCTTCTACATTTGCCCTTGCCCCACTCAAAAACTTCTCTACTCTCTAAAGCCATAAAATCTGGTGGGGAAGGATGGCCAGCAAGGAGACAAGAAAAATTTCTGCAAGGGGCTATTTAACCCCCTTTCCACTTCCTCCATTAGGGAGTTTATTACAGGAACCTATCTCCCAAAATTAAGGGAAGAAGGAAATGCTGCACAAAAGTATGTTGAAATAGAGAAAACTCCATGTTGATCCTGGTTCAAAGACTGCAGCTGCCAATGGTTGTGCCCCATGGCCATGACTGCAGCTCCTGGTCCTCCCCAGCTGCACTATGACACCATACCTGGCTTACAGAAATCCATATGCCAGGGAAAGGGGATCAAATCCCTATTTTGCAAGGTCTAGATTACATTTCTGCAAATCAGCTGCAGCACATGAACCTTGAAGAGGCTTTTCAAAGCCAGGGCTTAGCAACTGACAATGTTTTATGCCATAAAGTTAACCTGATGTAGATGTTTTCTCCCAGGAGGATTGGTTTGACACGAGGGCAGTGGTTTGGTGCTCCCTCAGAAGGTCCCCTGGGAGGACACTGGGTGCTGCTGGTCAGGACATCATGGGATGTGCTGTGGTTTGGAAAAGCATCTTATTTTGTCTCCTGGATTTCAACACAGCCCAGAACTGCAGTGACAGAGCCATTCACTACCCAACCACCAAAAATAACATTGCTGGTGACAAACATCATGGCCCTGACACCAATTTGTCACCTCCTGTCCTTCAGCAGCCACGGGGGGACAGCTTTGCCTCACTCTTCCAGCACAGCCCCTTGAGGACGGGCTGGGGAACGAGCTGTGCAGCCAGGACCTCGTGTGCAGATGAGGAGACATTTACAGCAACTGCAGAATGGTATTTCCAGAGGGGATGGAGCAGCAGGATGGGGTTTGCAAGCCTGGAGGGCGTTTTCCCCCTCTCAAATTTGCTAAATTGCAGCTCTGCTAAGTGCCCAGCTCCCATGTGAGCACTGCCCCCTCCTCCCCTGCTGCTGCATTGCATCCCCCTGCCAGCAACAACCATCCCACCAGCCTCCCTGAAAATGACTGAAAAACCCAAACTGAGGGAGGAAGATCCCTCCTTGAAGCCAGGATGTGACTTTAATAACTAGAGGTAACTGGAGGAGCAAAGAGAAAAGACAGTAGCATTAATTATTCAGAAAGATTAATTGTTGGCAAGGCATAATTAGATCTCCCCACTCAAGCCTTGGGTGTGTGATTGTGATGGGACCTCAAGGCCAGACAGAAAACTCTCTTTCCTCTGTGTACATGCAAACCCAGTGCACCTTGCATATGAGGATCACCCTCACCACTGGAATTTCAGTATATTTTGGCTCCAAGGTGCCTGATCAGGCTCAACATCCTTTGCCTATGCTCCCATTTTCCATCACACATGCTCTGGCCACAGGTTGCAGTGGGGTTATACAAGCTGCTGGGATGCTGCTGGTTGATATAAATGATTTTAATCAAAATGTGGGGTTTTCACTAGAGAATGGTATGAGATTATAATCAAACATTTTCTGGAAAGCACCTTGTATTAGCAAGTATTTTAATTCATTTTTTAAAGACTTATCTATTTAGTCATGACATGCTAAAAATGAGTAGTTTTACTTTGCTGGTATGATGGAGGATTTTTCTGTTAAACTTTAAAGCTAACCTTAGCAAAATGTAGCACAGAAGGCCAAAAGCCAAAATTTGAGTGAAATGATCAAATGAAAAAATTTCCATGGCTGGTAAAACTTTGAGTTTTTAACTCTGAAAATGCTTGGATCAGTTTAGGAAAATAAAGAAATGAAAAAAAAAAAAAAAGAAAAAAGAGGATGTTTTGTAACCTGTGAAAAGTATTCCTTGCTACAACTGAACACAGGTATTAAAAGCTGCAGTGGTCACACCACAGTGCTTGGGGGACTGCTGAGGATCCCAACATCCCACCAGTGCTGGGCTCCACCACTGCTTTTATAGATGGGAATGAATTTAATTAACTTTCTGGTAGAAGACAATTCAAAACTAAAATAAAGTAATTTAACTCTACTGTCCCTTCCAATAATGAAAAATGTTATATTTCATGCTGTTAAATTTTCTTTGGGGATGTGATTTCAAGGGGTGCTGTGCTCCCCATGGAGGATAACAGCATGCCGCCTGCCTTGCACAAACCACAGCTCCCAGAAGGTCAGCCAACATCCCAAGAGCTAAAACTGCTGGAAAGCCCTGCGCTGTGGGAGTCACGTGTGTGCATGGCTGCAGAGGAGCCTGCAGGGAGAGGAAAGCCCCTCAGCCCCTCAGTGACCCTGCAGCCAGGTGCCCCTGCCCGGGTGTGCGGGAGCAGCCGCAGGATCAGCGGGAGCCGGCCCGGGGCGAGCGCTGCGGTTTCTGCCTCGCCGGGGAGCCCAGCCGCAGCCAGGGGAAATTACTCACATCACTTTCAAATTTTCCCACATTGCCAGCCCCAAAGACAGACGTGAAGAGCCATGGGCCAGCCCAGCAGTGGCCTGCGTGTAGCAAAGGGCCTGGCCAAGGGAAGGGAGCTGGGGCTGGCAGCTGTGCCAGGCTGGTGGCCATCACCACCATGGCAGAGGGGCTTGTGGCAGTCCCAGAGCCCTGTGCCACTGGCTGTGCTGTGTGTCTGCCTGCTGGGAGCACCCCAAAGGCTGAGCTCTGAGCAGCCTCTGTGCTCCTCTGCCCTGCGTGGG